CTACCCGAAGCTTTGCCAATAAAATGCAGTCAGGATAAAGGGAGGGAGGGAAGGAAAGAGAGAAGGAGGAAGGGAAGAGAAAGAAAACCAAACCCAGGGCTCAGGTGGGAGCACTGTCAGGCACCCACTAGCAACTATCACCCCATTTTGCACCCATTAGGTGATTACTTCCTCACATTAATGAGATGGCCCTGAGCTAAAACCACACACATCATTGCCCAGCTACAGATTACGCCCCACATAAATTTGCAGAGAAATGTAACCAAGGGACAAAGCTTTTTCCAGCAGAAGGAGAATGGAAGTGGGGCTGTTTCTTAGGAAATGGTTGTCCCCTCCCTGTTCCTTTCCCTTGGGCTGTAACACAGGACATATGACTGGCAGCAATCGATTGCAACAAACAAACAAACAAACAAACAAAAATCTATTGCAAGAAAGAGGAAACTGATAGGGGAGAGGGTACAGCCTAGGAACATGGGCTCAGCATCACTGCGTGGAGCTGCTTGGAGAAGCAGACGCCCATAAGCAAGGACAGGCAGGGAAAGCATTGTAAGGTTAAGGCCGTTGACTGTATTACAAGACCCTGTCTCAAAAGTAAGTAAATTAATAATTAAAACCCGGATACTTTTATTGTCTCGTGATGTCTGTGGGCCGTTCTGCAGAGCCTGTCTCTGCCGGCTGCTTGAGGATCTCTCAGGAGGTGGCAGCCAGCACTGTGACCACCACGGTGACCGCAATAGTCAGAAACATCTTCTCTCAAGCTCACTTTCAGGCTGATGTCACACAGTCAGACCAAGCTCCTTACCACGAGACTTCTCTGCTGGTAAGTGTCATTACGGCTGGTAGTGACTTCCCTCAGAGCTAATGGCCCAAGAGCCAGAGTGACTGAGAATTAGATTTGTTTGTTTGATTTGTTTCTCCAAGACAGGGTTTCTCTGAGTAGCCCTGGGTGTCCTCCAGACTGACCTTGAACTCAGAGATCTGCCTGCCCCTACCTCCAGACTGTTGCAATTAAAGGTGTGTGCCACTACCCCGGGCTGTTTTTAAATCTATGATTTCCCTTGCTATGCCAAGCCTCTCCACTTTTGCAAGTGGCCTGTCTGTGCCTTTGGCGTTTTATCTACTGCTTTCCCGCCTATACCAATATCATGAAGCATTTCCCCTGTGTCTTCCCGAAACTGTGTCACATACAGTTCTAGGATTTTTGTTTTGTTGTCTTGTGGGGTTTTGTTTTGTTATTATTTTGGTTTTATTTCTTCCTGTTTGTGACAGGGGTCCCACCCAGTCACCCAGGTTGGCCTGGCACAGCAGTTCTCCCACCTCCGCCTCCCAGATGGTGCTAGGATTAAACAATGTTTGAGCTGATTCGCCTGGCTTTGGCTTTCAAGCTCAATATCTGGATCTTTGATTCATTTTGATTTGATCTGGTGGGTTGACGACAGAGAGAGAGAGTTACTTTCACTCTTCCGCAAAAAGTTTCCCGGACCCTGTTTATTGACCGCCTTTTCCCCACTGTTCTTGGCACTTCTGTCAGAAGCCAGTTGGCTATGTGAGGACAGATTGATTTCTGATGAACCGCATCATTAAAATGTTCAAGGCCAAAGCTTTTCCCATCTGCTGTGCCCATTGCCAGCCATCGTCTGAGGCGCTGAACCATAGCCAATGTCATGAGGGATAAGGAGGACAACAGGCCTTGGGAGAATTTCCCGGGACCGTGAAAGGGTGCGCACAAACGTCTAAATGATTAGCTGGGTGGTGGTGGTGCATGCCTTTAATCCCAGCACGTGGGAAGCAGAGACAGGCGGATCTCTGTGAATTCGAGGCCAGTCTGGCCTACAGGGCGAGTTCCAGGACAGGTTCCAAAGTTACAGAAAAACCCTTTCTTGAGAAACCAAACAAAGTCACAAAAAGGTATAAAGTACAGACCACGTGGTACCCACTATAGCAGGGCTTCTGTGAGTTTGACCTGGGATCTTCGCCGCGCTCAGTTTCGCCAGCTGTCTGCAGAAACACCTCCCTGGCCCAGCCTTCTAGGTGGTTTTCCTAGGAGGCTCATTTTAGCCTGGAGGCGAATGGGTAGGGAAAGGAACTTCTCTCTCCACGTCACCTTCCCCTTCAAAGGCTCTTCCTGTTTTACAACTGTGTGCTGGGGCACTTTGTATCCCTTAAAGCAGAATCACCTATCACACCTGACTTGGAACTAATGTGTAGAAATTGCCATCTATCTAGTAAATATTGTGCACACTTGGAGCTTGATTTTCAATCAGGATTAAGGATTTTCTTTTGCTTTTTAGTTTTAGGTCACGGCAAAATGGACGGGAAGCATCAGAAAATCCCCATAGACTCCCTGTCTCAAGGCATGCACAACTTCCGCCCTTACCTACATCCCCCACCAAAATGATGGGTGTGCTATAACTGGTTAACCTATACAGACATGGTGGGGGGGGGGGGGGGGGGGGGGGGGG